GTGGTAAAAGCAGTGCATTGAAGGAAATCTATAGCTATAAATGCACACATTAAAAAAAAAAAAGTTCTCAATAACCTAACTGTACAACTTAAGAAATTAAAAAGAAAAAAAAAGCAAACTAAACACAAGTTAACAGAAGGCTAATTAATAGTAAAGATCAGAGTGGAAATAATGAACTACAAAATAAGGAAATAGAGAAAATAAAAAAAAACTAAAAGTTGGCTCATTAAAAAGATCAACAAAATTGACAAACATTTAGGCTAATAGAAAAAATTCAAATTAATAAAAACCAGAAATGAATGTGGGGACATTATGACCAGACTTAGAGAAATAGAAATTATTATATGAGAACACTAAAATGATTGTATGCTAACAAAATACATAACCTAGATGAAATGGACAAATCCCTAGAAACACACAATCTACCGATGACCCATGAAGAAGTAGAAAATCTTAATAGACTTATAACTCTAAGAAGATTGAATCAATGATCAAAAACCTCCCAACAAAGAAAAGCCCAACACAGATGCCTTCACTGGTCAAGTCTCTCTCTCTCTTTTTTTTTTTTTTTTAAGAGAGAGAGAGATTGAGAACACTTGAGCTGGGGGAGGGGCAGAGGGAGAGAGTCTCAAGCAGACTCCATGCTTATCGAGGGGCCTAAGGCGGAGCTTGATCCCACAACCCTGGGATTCTGACCCAAGCTGAAATCAAGAGTCAAATGGTTAACAACTAAGCCACCCAGAAGCACCTTCACTGGTCAATTCTACTGAACATTTTAAAAAGAAGAAACACCAATCCTCAATATCTTCCCGAAAATTAAAGTGGAAGTTTTACTTGCCTAATGAGGTTAGCCTAATGCTAAAATCAGAGAGACAAAGACAAAAACTATGGACCAATATCCCTTATGAATATTGATTCAAAAATCCTCAATAAGGGGCACCTGGGTTGTCAGTCGATTGGGCATCTGACTTTTGGTTTCAGGTCAGGTCATGATCTCACGGTTTGTGAGTTCAAGCCCCACATCGGGCTCTGCACTGATAGTGTGTAGCCTGCTTGGGATTCTCTCTCTGCCTCTCTCAGGAGAAATAAATAAGCTTTGAAAAATCCTCAATAAACTACTAGCAAAATGAATTCAATAGCATATTGAAAAGGATTATACACTATGACCAAGTGGGGTTCATTCCCAGAATGAAAGAATGGTCAACATGAAAATCATTATAATAGATCCCATTAACAGAACGAAGAAAAACCCCATGGAAACTTTTCAATTGATACAATAAATAAAATACTTAGAAATAAATTTAGCCAAGGAGGCAAAAGACTTGTACACTGAAAAACAGCAAAGATCATGAAGTTAAAGAACATATAAACAAATGAAAATACATCCCATGTTCATGTAGTGGAGGACTTGACACAAGTGATCTACAGATCCAATTCAATCCCTATCAAAAGCTGTGATTTTGCAGATAGAATAACTCACCCTAAAACTCATATGGAATCCCATATAGGGATCCCAAATAACCAAAAAGATCTTGAAAAAGAACAAAGTTGGAGTATCTGGCTGGCTCAGGAGAGAATGCAACTCTTGATCTCAGGATTGTGAGTTAGAGCCCCATGTTGAGTGTAGCGATTAAACATAAAATCTTTAAGGGGCGCCTGGGTGGCTCAGTCGGTTGAGTGTCTGACTTCGGCTCAGGTCACAATCTTCCTGTTTAGGAGTTCAAGCCCCACATTGGGCTCTGTGCTGACAGCTCAGAGCCTGGAGCCTGTTTCAGATTCTGTGTGTGTCTCTATCTGCCTCTACCCGCTCGTGCTGTCTCTCTCTGTGTCTCTCGAAAATAAATAAACAAAATCTTAAAAAAAAAAAAAAAAAGAGGGCACCTGGGTGGCACCATCAGTTAAGCAACAGACTCTTGATTTCTGCTCAGGTCATGATCTCACAGTTCATGGGTTCAAGCCCCACACTGGGCTCTGCACTAAGTGTGGAGACTGCTTGGGATTCTCTCTCCCTCTCTCTGCCCTTCCCCCTCTCACACGGTCTCTCTCAAAGTTAACTTAAAAAGAACAAACAAGTTGAAGGACTCATTTCCTATTCTAAACTTCCTAGAAAGCCACAGTTATCAACAGTATGGTGCTGGCATATAGGCATATAGATGAATTGAACAGAACTCAGAAATAAACCCTTGCACATATCATCAATTGATTTTAGATAAGGGCACAGACCATTTGTTATGAACTGTTTGTGTTCCCTCCCCCCGTCCCCATTTAAACATTGAAGCTCTAACCCCCAATGGGACTGTATTTGTAGACAGGGCCTGTCAACTGGTGATAAAGTTTAAATAAAGTCATAAATATGGGACCTAATCTGATAGGGCTGATGCCCTTATAGAAGTAAGAGACATCTGAGATCTCCTCTACCATGTGAGAGCACAGTGAGAAGGCAGCTGTTTGCAAGCCAGGAAGAAAATCGTCACCAGGGTTGAAATCAAACAGCACCTTGATCTTGGACTTAGTCTCCAGAACTATGACAGGTTTGTTTTTGATAAATTTGGGTTTTAAGCCACCAGTTCTGTGGTATTTTTATGGCAGCCTGAGCCAATACAGGCATACCTTGTTTTATCATGCTTTGCTTTATTGTGTTTCTTACAAACTGAAGATCTGTGACAATCCCATGTCAAGCAAGTCTATTGGCAGTATTCTCCCAACAGCATTTATTCACTTTGTGTCTGTCACATTTTGGTAATTTTTGCAATACTTCAAACTTTTTCATCATTATTACATTTGTTATGGTAACCTGTGACCAGTGATTATGATTCACATGATGACTACCATTTGTTTGAAATAAACTGTTCAAGGTATGCACACTGGTTTTTTAGACATGCTATTGCACACTTAATACGCTGTCCCGTAAATGTAACTTTCATATGAAATGGGAAACCACAAATTCATTTCACTTGCTTTACGGACATATGTGCTTTATCACAGTGGTCTGGAACTGAGCCCTCAAGATCTCTGAGGTATGCCTATACACCATTCAATAAGGAAAGCCAAGTCTTTTCAAAAAACGTTGTAGGATGGGGCGCCTAGGTGGCTCAGTCGGTTAAGCACCTGACTCTTGGTTTTGGTCATGATCTCACAGTTTGTGGGTTCAAGCCCCACATTAGACTCTGCGCTGACACACAGAGCCTGCTTAGGATTCTCTCTCCCCTTCCCTTTGCCACTCCACAACTTGTACTCTTGCTCTCAAAAATATATGAATAAACTTTTAAAAACAATGTTGTAGGGAAAATTGGAGGTCTACTTCCAAAAGAAGGAATTTGGACTCTTACCTTATACCATATTAAAAAATTAGCTTAAAATGGATCAAAGACCTAAAACTACAAACTTCAGAAAAAAACAGAGGGGCAAATCTTCCTAACCTCGGACTTAGCAATTTCTTGAGTAGGACACACAAAGCACAGGCAACAAAAGAAAAAAATACACTGAACTTCATAAAAATTAAAAACTTTTGTGGAACAAAGGACACTAATAACAATAGACAGAACTCACAGAATTAGAGTAAATATTTCCAAATCATATACCTGATAAGGGATTACTACGCAAAACATACAAAGAACTCCTACACCTCAACAATAAGAAAGAACCCAATTCAAAAGTTGGCAAAGGACTAGGACAGACATTTCTCCAAAGATGATATACAAATGGCCAATAAGTGCCTGAAAAGATGTTCAACATCATTAGTCATCAGGGAAATGCAAACCAAAACCATAATGAGATACCACTTCACACCCATTAGTATAGATATTATTTTTAAAAATGGAAAAATTGGGGTGTCTGGCTGGCTCAGTCAGAAGAGCATGCGACTCTTGATCTCAGGGTTGTGAGTTCAAGACCCATGTCGTGTACAGAAATAAATATATCAACCTTTAAAAAATGGAAAATAACAAATGTTGGCAAGGATGTGGAGAAATCAGAACCTTCTATTCATTGCTGGTGGGACTATAAAACGGTACAGCCAATGTGTGGAAAAGTCTGGCCGCTCCTCAAAAAGCTAAACGTGGAATTACCATATGATCCAGCAATTTCACTCCCAGGATTATACCCCAAAGTACTGAAAGGATCCAAAAAATACTTGTATACAACACCCAAGTGCCCATTAAGAGATGAATGGATAAATAAAACATGGTATCTACAAATCAAGGTCATATTTTTCAGGCATAAAAAAATGACATTCTGATACAGGTTACAACATGGATAAATCTTGAGGACATTATGCAAAGCGAAATAAGCTAGATATAAAGGGCAGATACTATATGACTCCATACCTGAAGAAGCCAGACTAGGCAAATTCAGACAGAAAACAGAACAGACTGTCAGCAGCCGAGAGAAAGGGAGAGTTATTATTTAATGCGTACAGAGTTTCTGTTTCAGATCATAAAAGTTCTGGAAATAGTGGGGATGGTCATACAACATTGTGAGTGTATTTAATGCCACTGAGCTGTACACCTAAAAACGGTAAAAATGGTAAGTTTCAGGTTATGTGTATTTTACCACAATATCACCTCTATTAAGATACATGGAAAAGCATGAACATTATGCTAATCTTTTTAAATTACAATATGTGAATATGTAGAATTTTTCCAGGGTGACTTTTCTAGGATCGAGGAAATAACAAAGGAAGATCCTCTGTGCTGCAATGACAAGCACGCAGTATTTTCTTTTGACAACGCGCTGAACTGTGTGAAAGGAAGCTTATGCTAAATCAGCAGTAATGGATTCATTTTCTAAACGGGGGGAATCACAAGAACTTCTTTTTGCCTACCTCTCTCTCAATTTCTCTAAAATGAACATGCACGGCTTCGGGATTAAGGAAAGAGTTGCGTTTGTTTTTAATTAGAAATGCCCTTCATCTGTGACAACACTGTATGGACAATAAATAAAGGGGTGGGGTGGGTCATATGGAGAAGTGCACAGCAGAACTCATGCGCCCTCGTCCACAGTCACCTCGCAAAGTCCTCCCGGAGGTGAATCCTCTGATGCTGGCACATGTTGGAACTGTGCCGGAAGGCTTTCCCACACTTGCTGCACTTGTAGGGCTTCTCCCCCGTGTGGATCCTCCGGTGCTGGATGAGGTAAGTACCCTGGCTAAAGGCTTTCTTGCAATCGCTGCATTTGTACGGCTTCTCTCCGTGGTGTGACCTTTGGTGGTGGATGAGTCTGGAACTGTTGTGGAAGGCCTTCCCACACTCACTGCACTTGTACGGCTTCTCTCCCGTGTGGATCCTCTGATGCTGAATAAGGTGTGTGCTTTGGCTGAAGACTTTGCCACAGTCATTACACTCATAGGGCTTCTCTCCAGTGTGGCTTCTCTGATGTTCAACCAGTTTGGTTTTTTGGATGAAGGCTTTCTCACATTCATTGCATTTATAGGGTTTCTCCCCAGTGTGAATTCTTTGATGTTGGATAAGGTTAGAACTTTGGGTAAAGCCTTTGCCACATTCTTTGCACTCAAATGGCTTCTCTCCAGTGTGAGTCCGACGATGCCGGATGAGGATTGAGCCATCACTGAAGGCTTTCCCACAGTCATTGCACTTATAGGGTTTCTCTCCAGTGTGGATTCTCTGGTGGTAAATAAGGGAAGAATAGGCACTGAAGTGTTTCCCACAATCACCACACTTGTAGGGCTTCTCCCCAGTGTGAATCCTCTGATGCTTCATGAGGTTGGGCCTTTGGTTGAATGTCTTCCCGCACTCACCACACCGGTAGGGGATCTCCCCTGAATGCATCCTTCGGTGACTGATGAACTCGCAGCTCTGGCCGAAGGCTTTCCCACACTCTTCACACTTGTAGGGCTTTTCTTCGCTATGAAGCCGCTGGTGCTTGACGAGGTTAGCACTGTACCTGAAGGCTTTCCCACAGTAACCACAATGATGCAATTTTTTCCCAAGAGGAATTATCTGAGCTTCTTTAGCCAGATTTGCACTGAAGAATTCCCCAGAATCATGGACTACATTTATCTTTTTTGTCCTGTGTACACGCTTATGGTTATTGAGGTATGATCTCTGTTCAAAACTTTGTTCACATATATCACATTTGTGAGGTCTCTGGTCAGAGATCGGGCTTGACTGGAAGCTGAGGCTCCCTGCAGACTCCTGGATGCTCTCCTCATTAGTCCATATGACTGGCCTCAGGCATCTCTGTTCCACAGGCTCGTCCAGGCTGTCCTCTGGCTCCCGGACACACGCACGGGCCTCTCCAGGCTCAGGTCCCTGGGAAACAGCACTCTGGAGTCGATCCAGTTCTTCCCCATCAAGCATTTCTCCTGAAGACAACTCACTGTACTCAGTCCTGGTCCCACGAGCTGAAACAACAAACACATCTCTGGACCACCTGTTCTGACTTCAGAAGGAAGGTACGAAGATGCTGCCAACCATCGGTGCCGTACCGATTCCACCATCTCCAGGGTTACAACGCCTTGCAGAGAGGAGAGCCGGTAGCTCAGAGGCTTAAAGAACTTACCCAAGGCTGCAGTCATGTGGCAGTGCAAGTATTTAAACCAGGTCTGACGAATTCTTCCTGCCCGCCTTCTGCCCACAAAACCTTCCTAAGTGCGGCTATAGGGCGCAGGTCCTCATTACAAAGGGACAGAACATGGAAGCTTCATGCCACCACGGAGACCAGGGGGCCCTGAGAGTCACAGAGGACATCTGACAAAGAAGGGAGTCTGAGGCCACTTAACAACAGCTAATTCACCCCAAAATTCAGGGTAGGAAAACCAGGTGCCTCCTCAGGACGTCAGAAGGCCAACCTCGTGCCAACCATGGGCCTTGGTGTCTCTGAGCTCCCCCTCGCAGGCTATACCCATTCCTGTGTCTTTTCTCAGGGGCCTGAGAGGCAATTACCAGCCCCTTAAACTCAAGGTGCCACACAGAATGGTTCCTGATACCCTCAAGCCTCCTCTCCTTCCTGCCTTGACCAGACATTCATACACCAACTCCCCTTGCAGAAACATACCACCAGAAAGGTACTTTCTGTGAACCAAGAGAAACATCCACAACGACCCCAAAACGGGGACAACCAAATGTCAACAAGAATGGAAAATATCTTGGAGTGCCTGGGTGGCTGTCGGTTAAGCATCCAACTCTTGACTTCAGCTCAGGTCATGATCTCACAGTTTGTGGATTCGAGCCCCACATCAGTGTGGAGCCTGCTTGGGATTCTCTCTCTCCCACTCTTTCTGCCCCTCCCCTGCTCTCTCTCTCAAAATAAATAAGGAAAATAATTTGTGGTAGATTCACATGGCAGAACATCATGTGGCAATGAAAGAGAACAAACTGAGTACACCACAGCAGCCCTCACAATGTTCAGATGCGTGAGACAAGACACAGAGTTGAGGGGCAGAGTGCCGTCCCCAGGAGTGAGAGAGAAGGGTCCTGTGAGGAGCAGTGGGAAATGACAGGAGGCCCAGTGGGCTCCCAGGGAACTAGAAAAGTTCTACATTTTGATCTGGAAGAGGATTTTTATAAAAATTCACTGAGTTATAAACAAGATTTACCCTGGTTCTAGAAGTATTTATATTTGAATAAACAAATTTACAAAAGAGAAATTCAAGTCCTTTGAACCAAGAGTTGCTTCTTAGGACATCACCAAGACGTGCAAAATAACACTTATCAGAGTTGTTCATGGCAATGAAACTACAGAGCACCCTTTCCACTGGCACTTCCAACAAAACCAGTGACTGACTTGTGCATAAAGACGGACACTCATTGGGGCGCCTGGGTGGCTCAGCCGGTTGAGCGTCCGACTTCAGCTCAGGTCACAATCTCACGGTTCGTGAGTTCAAGCCCCGCGTCAGGCTCTGGGCTGATGGCTCAGAGCCTGGAGCCTGCTTCTGATTCTGTGTCTCCCTCTCTCTCTGCCCCACCCCCCCCATTCATGCTCTGTCTCTCTCTGTCTCAAAAATAAATAAACATTAAAAAAAATTTTTTTTAATAAAAAAAAAAAAAAGATGGACACTCATTGAGTGAAAAAGGAGGTGACAGCAGTACACTTGGGAGCACTGCATCCCTGCATCCCTGTCAAGAAGCAACATTCGTATGGGCGTGAAACAGCACGAGAAAGGGGAGAGTAGGAACACACTGGTATCTGGGTGATGACATATTCTCTCTTTCTTGTAATGGTCCGTGATTGCCAAGTGGCAATTTTAGTAAAGGAGAATGAAGCGATGGTCTCCATACTATGGCCCTGCCTCACCCTCCTCACAGGGCATGAGCTCTGGAGGGCAGGGCTCCATGAGGTCCCATGGACCCAGCCTTCCCTCACAGCATACCCGAATGCCCTTCCCTCTTCTCCTCTGCCAACAATGCCCCCTCTCACCCTCCTAGAAGATTCAGCTCAAGAATTACCACAATTACTCAGAATAATGCTGCCCCAATGCACCTTGTTCTCAATTCCGGAACCATTAACCATACACCCTGGACTCCAACAGATGCCTGTTCACCAGCTGTTGGGGAAGAGGCCCCCTTCACGCACCTGAGACACTGACTCTCGGTCGCCCTTTCCCTTTGGCACCCTGTGCATCCAGGACCCATGGTTCATCCCCTCGCTCCAACTGTGTGATCACCCCAGGCTTGGGACCTGCACGTCCAGCTCCTAAGAAGAAAACAGGGCCTGGGGTTGGTGCCAAGGAACAGGGCTGCACTGAGCATGATCTCACAACGTCTCCTTCCTGTGGCAGGAAGAGAAGCACAGGCAAAGTGGGGTGATGGGGAGTCTGGACACTCTGGAGGGCTGGGGGCAGTCATAAAGAAGCAAATTGAACACAGGGAACAAAAGTGCAGAGGGCTCTCTCCTCTTGGAAGGTACACAGTCCCTCTGGGGAGGGACCTGTCTTGGGTCTGGAGCAGGAGGCACTCTTATCTGGGAGCTCAGAGTCAGATGACAGAAGCACAGACCCAGCCCTGCCTGGCCCCTCCTCTAGCAGACCAGGCCTGCCCAGGACCAGGGGGAAGAGGCCCCCAGCCCAACCCCTGCTGAGCCCCCAGTTCCCGGGGCTGTTCCCTGAGCTGCATCCTAGTGAGGGGCCTTACCCAGGGAGACCAGATTCCTGTAGGTCTCCAGCATCACGTCCCTGTAGAGGCCCCTCTGAGTAGGGCCCAGACGGCCCCACTCCTCCCGGGAGAATAGCACGGCCACGTCCTCAAAGGTCACCTCAGCCTGGAATGACAAGGGCTGCTGCAGGCCCAGGTGCGACTCAGCATGGGCCCTGGGGGCAGGTGCCGCAGAAGCATTCTAGGAGCAGCAGCACAGGGGCAGCTACAGGAATGATCCCCCAGCATGACCGAGGGGAGTGGCCCGGGCCTTGGCTGCTAAGCCAGCTAACTAAGGAAGGCCGGGGGAATCCCAGGGTCACTCCTCCTCTGCTCAACGCCCCAGACCAGACATGCCTCACAGTGCCTGCTGAGGCAGCAGAAGCAGGAAAGCCCCGTGTGGAGACTTCACACCTCCCAGGGAAAACGGATGCTCACCTGGGGCAGGGCAGACAGGTGCAAAGTTGCCATCGCCTGGTACCCTGGGCTTCCAAGGGGAGGAAGTCAGCAGTAAGCCACACTGGTGCTGAGGGAAGAGAAAGGAACACGTGGAGGCCCAGCCTGGCCTCTCCTGTGGGCACCTTCAGGACCATGTTCATCCCCATCAGGGCACAGCTGGCCTCCCAGGCTGACTCTGCTCCCTGCCTGGGGCTACCCTGCCCAACCTGGCACCCAGTACATGGACACGTGCACAACTCCTTGGGTCATCTGCTCCCCTCAACCTCCCTGACACGCCAAGCTGTCTCATTCAGGAGAAAGACGGAGATACCCGTTCATTTTACATGAAAGAGTAAAGACAACTCGTTAAGTATTGAGGAGAAAAAGAAAAAGAAAATCAACGGAAGGCATAGAACAAAGTCAAAGTACAGACGGCAAAAAATACAACAGTAGTGGAAACAATTCAGTGGATGAGTAATAAGAAATAAAACAATTAAACTCACCTACTAGAAGTACAAGACTCTCCAACAGATGCACACAACGCATCTACATAACCTAAAATAAAGTAACACAAAGGCTGAATATAAGACAGATTAAACAAACACTAATTAAAATAAAGCTGTAGAAGATATACACCTTTTCTTTGCCTTTAAAGCTCTTTATTGAAATATGACATTTATGAAGAAGAGTTGAGAAATCCTGAACACACAGCTCCAGGGGCAATCACAAGGGCCCACACCGACAGAACCAGCATCAACGTCAGCCCTCCTGCCCCTGCAGGCACTGCTTCCTCCCTGAACGCCCAAGAGTGAAGCTCTACCCTGAATGCCACCACCACGGATCAGCTGTGCCTCTGGTGAGTTTTTTATCAAAGGAAATATAAGCTGTCTATACTCTTGACTTCTTCCCCTCATTCATGATATTTGTGAGCTTTTAATATGCATTGCTATGTGTGGATCAGCATTTATTTAAACCAATTAAAACAGAACTGAAAGCAAAAATTATAGGAACAAAAATAACAATACACGTTAATAAAAGGAAAATCCACCAAGAAGACGTAATTACAGACATGTATGTATCTACCAACAAAATCCAAATGTAGAAAGCCAATGCTCTAACTGAAGCAGCAAAGAGGAACCTGGCAAAGCTCCACTGGAATGAGAGATTCTAACACATATCCCTCAGAAGCAAGAGGACTGAGTAGAGAACAGCCACTTAAAACATTCAGAATAGACACTTTCCAAGATGCACATTCAAAACTATTAAAATAACATCATGAACCAGGCAACAATGAAAGTTTCAACAACTTCCAAAGGCTGACATCATTTGGGAAAACATTCTCTCACCAGACCGCTGTTATGCTGGAAATATATGCTAA